GGATATTAGCAGTTTGGAGGGATATGTTGTGTATCTTTATACATATATATATGCTTCTAAACTGTTGTGTTCTGAGCACCTCTGCAAAAACAGTGATTATGTGTGAGTGAGGTAAAGTGTTGAATGATGATGAAAGTATTTTCTTTTTGGGGATTTTCTTTCTTTTTGGGTCACCCTGCCTCGGTGGGACACGGCCGACTTGTTGAAAAAAAAAAATAAATAAATAAAGGGAAGGGGGACAAAACAGATTGCAAAAATTATAGAGGAATAAGTTTACTGAGCATACCAGGAAAAGTGCATGGTAGGGTTATTATTGAAAGAATTAAGAGGCAAGACACAATGTAGCATTGCAGATGAGCAAGGAGGTTTTAGAGTGGGTAAGGGATGTGTAGATCAAGTGTTTACATTGAAGCATATATGTGAACAGTATTTAGATGAAGGTAGTGAAGTTTTCATTGCATTTATGGATTTAGAAAAGGCATATGATAGAGTGGATAGGGGAGCAATGTGGCAGATGTTGCAAGCATATGTAATAGGTAGTAAGTTACTAAATGCTGTAAAGAGTTTTTATGAGGATAGTGAGGCTCAGGTTAGGGTGTGTAGGAGAAAGGGAGATTACTTCCCGGTAAAAGTAGGTCTTAGTCAAGGATGTGTAATGTCACCATGGTTGTTTAATATATTTATAGATGGGGTTGTAAAAGAAGTAAATGCTAGGGTGTTCGGGAGAGGGGTGGGATTAAATTATGGGGAATCAAATACAAAACTGGAATTGACACAGTTACTTTTTGCTGATGATACTGTGCTTATGGGAGATTCTAAAGAAAAGTTGCAAAGGTTAGTGGATGAGTTTGGGAGTGTGTGTAAAGGTAGAAAAGTTGAAAGTGAACATAGAAATGAGTAAGGTGATGAGGGTATCAAATGATTTAGATAAAGAAAAATTGGTTATCAAATTGCAGGAGGAGGAGTATAGAAGAAGTGAATGTTTTCAGATATATGGGAGTTGAAGTGTGAGCGGATGGATGTATGAAGGATGAGGTTAACCATAGAATTGATGAAGGAAAAAAGGCAAGTGGTGCATTGAGGTATATGTGGAGAGAGAAAACATTATCTATGGAGGCAAAGAAGGGAATGTATGAAAGTATAGTGGTACCAACACTCTTATATAGCTGTGAAGCTTGGGTTGTACAATGGAACCTCAAAAATCCAACATATCACATATTGAACGTTTCGAAAATAGAACCATTTTTTCGGACAAACTGTGTCCCTATTATTGAACGCTCCCCTATTTTCGGACTGCCGGGTACGGGACCTGTCTGCCGCCCGCTCTGTCCGCGTCCCTGCGCAGGCGCCGTGAGTAGTCTACCTTTGTTTATGCTTGAGTGAACACTAACCTGCGCTCTCATTCACACATTTTACGATTATTTCATTGTGTTTAGTGCTTGTGGGACTGTGAAATAAGCTGCCATGGGCCCAAAGAAACTTGGTAGTGGTGCCCCTGTGGTAAAGAAAGTGAGGAACACCATAGATGTGAAGAAGGAAATAATACATAAGTATGAGAGTGGTGTGGAACTTGTTGAGCTTGCCAGGATGTATGGGAAAAACAAGTCGACCATTGGTTCTATCCTGTCAAAGAAAGAACAAATCAAGGAAGCTGATGTTGCAAAAGGTGTTAATATAGGGAGTGGATGAGGTGCCTTCTTCAAAGATTAAGGAGATTTGTGCCAAGTGGAATGATGTCCAAATGTTTGTGCAGAAGTACCACCCTGAGCAAGCTGAAACAAGCCATCTTTGCAACAAGTTCAGTGACAGAACCATGTCCCATTTTAGGGAAATGTTAAAAAGGCGCCAGAAACAGAGGACTGTGGACAGTTATTTTGTGAGACAGGGGTCCAGTGACTCTCAAGCTGGTCCTAGTGGCATTAAAAGACAGAGAAGGGAAGTAACCCCAAAGAGGGCTTTACCTGAAGTCCTCATGGAGGGGGATTCTCCTTCCAAACACTAACCCCAACTCCCTCTCTCCTCCTCCCTATCTTCCAGATGCCATCACCAATCTTTAATAAAGGTAAGTAAAAAATGTTATTTTATATGTATTACTATACATAATTAAAAACTATAGTATTTGTTGTATGTAAAACTGTAATTAATCTCTATAAAATGTATTTTTTGTGTGAATATTTTTGGGTTTCTGGAACGGATTAATTGTACAGTGGTCCCTCGCTTTTCATAGTTCTCGGCAATCGTAAATTTCGCCAATCATAGGGGTATTTTTGTATAAACATGGACTCACTTTTCATAGGTTGACTCGCGAATAGTAGTTCGTCCAGGACGCTTACACATGGTGTGAGCAGGGGAGGCCTCCCTACCCAGCCAGTCTGGCATTGTTTACCAGTGAGTGAAGGTCCCCTCAAGTGCTCCTACGAAATATTTCATAATATTCCACTCTTTTTAGTGCTTGCAAGTACTAAATAAGCTACCATGGCTCCAAAGAAAGCTCCTAGTGCCAAGCCTGTGGTAAAGAAGATGAGAAATATGTAAAGTGACAAAGTCTTGTACCATTTTAGGGAAGTGTTAAAGAGACGCCAGAAACAGAGCTCTCTCCACAGTTACTTTGCGAGACAGGACTAGAGTGACTCTCAAGGTGGTCCTAGTGGCATTAAGAAACAGAGAAGAGAAGCAACCCCAGAGAAGCAATTGGTACCTGAGGTGTTGCTGGAAGGGGATTCCCCTTCCAAACTGTAAACAATCCAATCTCTCTCCTCCTCCAGTCTCCCATACACTAAGAAGAATCTCCAATAAAGGTAAGTGTTATGCTGTTAATGTTTCATTCATCATTTCCCATTGTATTGTTTATGTACTACATGTATATTTCATGTAAAAATTTTTTTGTTTTAATACTTCTGAGTGTCAGAAACGGATTAATTGTATTTACATTATTTCTTATGGGGAAAATTGATTCGCAAATCGTAAATTTCGTTTATAGTAGCTCCTCCAGGAACGGATTAATTACGAAAAACGAGGGACCACTGTATTTCCATTATTTCTTATGGGAAATACTGCTTCGAATTTCAGACTTTTTGAATTTAGAACTAGCTCCTGGAATGGATTAAGTTCGATTTTTGAGGTTCCACTGTAAATGCTGCAGCGAGGAGGCAGTTGGAGGCGGTGGTGATGTCCTGTCTAAGGGTAATGTGTGGTGTAAATATTATGCAGAGAATTTGGAGTGTGGAAATTAGGAGAAGGTGCGGAGTTAACCCTTTGACTGTTTCGGTCATATATAGCATACATCTTACGAGCCACCGTGTCTGACGTGTATATATACTCATAAATTCTAGCGACTTCAAATCAAGCAGGAGAAAGCTGGTAGGCCCACATGTGAGAGAATGGGTCTGTGTGATCAGTGTGCACCATATAAAAAAATCCTGGAGCACGCAGTGCATAATGAGAAAAAAAAAAACTACGAATATTTTTTTTTTAATTAAAATGCCGACTTTGTGGTCTATTTTCGTATAGTATTTATGGTTGTATTCTCATTTTCTTGGTCTCATTTGATAGAATGGGAAACATATTATAGAAACAGAGGTGATTTTGATTGGTTTTACTATAAACAGAACCTTGAAATGGACCTCAAAGTAGGGGAAATGTTTGATTTTTGCAGATGTTCAAAAGTAAACAAATGATGTTATTGTCCAATAAATGTCTAACTAGCCATTCTAATATGCAGTCATGAATGGGTTGACATTTTTTGTACAATTATTGCAGTATTGCAGTAGTCTGCATAACAGTAAATCTTCTATTTTTTGTTTGAATAAAAATTCAAAATAGAAAGCAAGAGTAATATCAGAGGGGCCTGGAGACATGACTGATGAATAAAGAAAATGTTATTTTAGAGCCAGGAATGTCTGCATTGTTCATTCTGGACCTTATTTTGAAATTGTCATATTTTTTTTAATTTTCGTGAAATTGGCCAAATTGCAAATTTCTGACCAAGTTATTGGGTACTTGAAATCGGTAAATGGGCAGTTTCTTGTACTCAATCGATAGAAAAAATGGAGTTCTAAAGAAATAGCTATGAGTTTGGTCGACTGGAACAATGGAATTAGCCGAAAATAGGGCTCAAAGTGGGCAAAATCGCCGCTTTGTAAATATCACAGAGGTCGCTAACTTCATGAGAGCGTAATTCCGTTAGTTTTCCATCAAATTCCGTTTTTTTTTTTTTGGTGTCATTACAATCGGGAAAAGATTCTCTATCATTTCACAAGAAATTTTTTTTTTTTCGAAATTTTGCGACACCAGGAGACACCTCAGGACTGAGGGTTGCGACAGTCAAGGAGCTAATAAAAGTATTAGTCAGAGGGCTGAAGAGGGGTTGTTGAGGTGGTTTGGTCATTTAGAGAGAATGGATCAAAGTAGAATGACACGGAGAGCGTATAAATCCATAGGAGAAGGTGGGGTAGGAGTCGTCCTCGAAAAGGTTGGAGGGAGAGGGTAAAGGTTTTGTGGGCGAGGGGCTTCGACTTCCAGCAAGCATGCGTGAGCGTGTTAGGAGTGAATGGAGACGAATGGTATTTGGGACCTGACAAGCTGTTGGAGTGTGAGCAGGGTAATATTTAGTGATGAGATTCAGGGAAACCGGCTATTTTTATATAGCCGGACTTGAGTCCTGGAAATGGAAAATACAATGCCTGCACTTTAAAGGAGGGGTTTGGGATATTGGCAGTTTGGAGGGACATGTTGTTTATCTTTATACGTATATGCTTCTAAACTGTTGTGTTCTGAGCACCTCTGCAAAAACTGTGATTATGTATGAGTGAGGTGAAAGTGTTGAATGATGATGAAAGTATTTTCTTTTTGGGGATTTTCTTTCTTTTTGGGTCACCCTGCCTCGGTGGGAGACGGCCGACTTGTTAAAAAAAAAAAATTTTTTTTTTGTTATTTAGCTTAACAGCATACAGACAGCATTTAGTGATCCTACTACTTGGACAACAACTAAGAATGTGTACTCGAGTTAGGGGAGAACGCAGAGGACGGTCAGTGTCAGTGGTTGCCGTCGGTGGTGCAGTTCCACGAGCCAGCTGCAGATTCAACTGCTGTCGGAAGTATTCCATCTGTTGTTTGAAGAAATCTCGCTCTCTTCTGATAGTTTCCAAATCAAAAGCTGTCAACAGATGCCCCATATAATAGACAAGGTAGCAGAGAAGAGAAAGACATTAAATAAAGTGAAAAGATGATTGCTGTAGAGTTGAACATTTTACATTTAATGCTTTAAACATCAGCTAAATAATACATATCTCATTTAACAAGTGCTTTGGGTGAACAACAGTTACCAGTATGTTATATCAAATGCACAAATACTACTGAATTATGCATTATAAATAAATCACTACTTTCGTTTTTCCTTTTGGGCCACCCCCGCCTCGGTGGGATAAATAAATCACTTGGTACATATAAATGTGCAACTTTAAAAACCTATCAGATAAAAGTTCATTTTTATTTCTGCTTTGATCAGGGGAAAAGTATTAAAACTGCAGGACTCAAAGAGCACCTGGGAAATGGGAGGCATTTGGGTTCATTCCATGGAAGGGAAAGACAAGATCAGTTCCTTGGATCAAGAACCCTTAGCCAGCATCAGGGCACCTTCTTTGAGGGGAGATAAAAGTTGAGATTGCTCTTCTCTTCCTAATACTGAATATAAATTTTGCTTGTGCTGTAAATGTAATCGCTCAACTGCATGCACACTACCATAATCCACCACCAAATATACCTTTCATTTCATCTAGCTCACAATTATTCTTTTATTTCAATGGCAGTGTTTGCCAAGGCAGGATGACCCAAAGAAGGAAATACATTCACCATCATTCATTCAATTGCTCTCTTAACCCTTAAACGGTCCAAACAATTTTTTTTTTTATTATCACACTGGCCGATTCCCACCAAGGCAGGGTGGCCCGAAAAAGAAAAACTTTCACCATCATTCACTCCATCACTGCCTTGCCAGAAGGGTGCTTTACACTACAGTTTTTAAACTGCAACATTAACACCCCTCCTTCAGAGTGCAGGCACTGTACTTCCCATCTCCAGGACTCAAGTCCGGCCTGCCGGTTTCCCTGAACCCCTTCATAAATGTTACTTTGCTCACACTCCAACAGCACGTCAAGTATTAAAAACCATTCGTCTCCATTCACTCCTATCAAACACGCTCACGCACGCCTGCTGGAAGTCCAAGCCCCTCGCACACAAAACCTCCTTTACCCCCTCCCTCCAACCTTTCCTAAGCCGACCCCCTACTCCGCCTTCCTTCCACTACAGACTGATACACTCACCCTTTTCCCCTCATCAATTCTATGATTCACCTCATCCTTCATAGACCCATCCGCTGACACGTCCACTCCCAAATATCTGAATACATTCACCTCCTCCATACTCTCTCCCTCCAATCTGATATCCAATCTTTCATCATGTAATATTTTTGTTATCCTCATAACCTTACTCTTTCCTGTATTCACTTTTAATTTTCTTCTTTTGCACACCCTACCAAATTCATCCACCAATCTCTGCAACTTCTCTTCAGAATCTCCCAAGAGCACAGTGTCATCAGCAAAGAGCAACTGTGACAACTCCCACTTTATGTGTGATTCTTTATCTTTTAACTCCACGCCTCTTGTCAAGACCCTCGCATTTACTTCTCTTACAACCCCATCTATAAATATATTAAACAACCACGGTGACATCACACATCCTTGTCTAAGGCCTACTTTTACTGGGAAATAATTTCCCTCTTTCCTATTTACTCTAACTTGAGCCTCACTATCCTCGTAAAAACTCTTCACTGCTTTCAGTAACCTACCCCCTACACCATACACCTGCAACATCTGCCACATTGCCCCCCTATCCACCCTGTCATATGCCTTTTCCAAATCCATAAATGCCACAAAGACCTCTTTAGCCTTATCTAAATACTGTTCACTTATATGTTTCACTGTAAACACCTGGTCCACATACCCCCTACCTTTCCTAAAGCCTCCTTGTTCATCTGCTATCCTATTCTCAGTCTTACTTTTAATTCTTTCAATAATAACTCTACCATACACTTTACCAGGTATACTCAACAGACTTATCCCCCTATAATTTTTGCACTCTCTTTTGTCCCCTTTGCCTTTATACAAAGGAACTATGCATGCTCTCTGCCAATCCCTAGGTACCTTACCCTCTTCCATACATTTATTAAATAATTGCACCAACCACTCCAAAACTACATCCCCACCTGCTTTTAACATTTCTATCTTTATCCCATCAATCCCGGCTGCCTTACCCCTTTCATTTTACCTACTGCCTCACGAACTTCCCCCACACTCACAACTGGCTCTTCCTCACTCCTACAAGATGTTATTCCTCCTTGCCCTATACACGAAATCACAGCTTCCCTATTTTCATCAACATTTAACAATTCCTCAAAATATTCCCTCCATCTTCCCAATACCTCTAACTCTCCATTTAATAACTCTCCTCTCCTATTTTTAACTGACAAATCCATTTGTTTTCTAGGCTTCCTTAACTTGTTAATCTCACTCCAAAACTTTTTCTTATTTTCAACAAAATTTGTTGATAACATCTCACCCACTCTCTCATTTGCTCTCTTTTTACATTGCTTCACCACTCTCTTAACCTCTCTCTTTTTCTCCATATACTCTTCCCTCCTTGCATCACTTCTACTTTGCAAAAACTTCTCATATGCTAACTTTTTCTCCCTTACTACTCTCTTTACATCATCATTCCACCAATCGCTCCTCTTCCCTCCCGCACCCACTTTCCTGTAACCACAAACTTCTGCTGAACACTCTAACACTACATTTTTAAACCTACCCCATACCTCTTCGACCCCATTGCCTATGCTCTCATTAGCCCATCTATCCTCCAATAGCTGTTTATATCTTTCCCTAACTGCCTCCTCTTTTAGTTTATAAACCTTCACCTCTCTCTTCCCTGATGCTTCTATTCTCCTTGTATCCCATCTACCTTTTACTCTCAGTGTAGCTACAACTAGAAAGTGATCTGATATATCTGTGGCCCCTCTATAAACATGTACATCCTGAAGTCTACTCAACAGTCTTTTATCTACCAATACATAATCCAACAAACTACTGTCATTTCGCCCTACATCATATCTTGTATACTTATTTATCCTCTTTTTCTTAAAATATGTATTACCTATAACTAAACCCCTTTCTATACAAAGTTCAATCAAAGGGCTCCCATTATCATTTACACCTGGCACCCCAAACTTACCTACCACACCCTCTCTAAAAGTTTCTCCTACTTTAGCATTCAGGTCCCCTACCACAATTACTCTCTCACTTGGTTCAAAGGCTCCTATACATTCACTTAACATCTCCCAAAATCTCTCTCTCTCCTCTGCATTCCTCTCTTCTCCAGGTGCATACACGCTTATTATGACCCACTTCTCCCATCCAACCTTTACTTTAATCCACATAATTCTTGCATTTTCACATTCATATTCTCTTTTCTCCTTCCATAACTGATCATTCAACATTACTGCTACCCCTTCCTTTGCTCTAACTCTCTCAGATACTCCAGATTTAATCCCATTTATTCCCCCCACCGAAACTCCCCTACCCCCTTCAGCTTTGTTTCGCTTAGGGCCAGGACATCCAACTTCTTTTCATTCATAACATCAGCAATCATCTGTTTCTTGTCATCTGCACTACATCCACGCACATTCAAGCATCCCAAACAAATCGGCGTTCAAATTCGTAGTGCTACAAAAGTAGATCTACTTTTTTTTACATATTTTCAAATGTAACAAAAAAAAAAGTAGATAAAAGTTTTTTTACACGTTTTCAAATGTAAAACAAGAAAAAAAATCTACATTTTTTTACATACTTTCAGATGTTGAAAAAACGTATATATACGTTTGGACCATTTAAGGGTTAATGAAACATCTCCATGATCATACTCTTGAATAATGAATAGCTTGTGGTACTCACGTGCAACAGGCACAGACTGAGGTCTGGGTGGAGGAGACACAGGTGAGCTCGCAACAACTGGGCCACCTACTGTTGGAGCCACGGTAGCTGCAGCAGCAGCAGTAGGGCCTGTAGCTAAGGGAGCTGTGGGTGGTTGGCCTCCAGCAGCTGTGACAGCTGGACCCACTCCAACACTACCTGAAGCTAGGGAACCTGCTGATCCTCCTGCTTGTTGGCTCTTAAAAGACTGGTACTGCATTTTGTAGAAATCTCGCTCTTGTTTTAAAACATCTCGCTCATGTGTCAGTCGAGCAATCTCATTCTCCTAAAAGTACACAAAAAATAAACAATACATCAAAAGTATGCAATTATCATATTATATGTAATTATATATCTATTACACGTAAGACAAAGTAAGAATAATCAAGCTTTCTCTCGTAGCCTCACTCTCATTATACCAGCCTATAGATTTCATTACACAGGTACTACACATGACTACTAATCTTATTTAAATAATTTTCAACGCACTGGGGAAATGGGCTTGGGTCGAGGCCTGCCAATCTGCATGGGTGTCGAGGGTGTAGACGAGGGTTTGCTCTTAAGGATGTCCAACAGCTGTATCACCTGTTCACTGTAGTATTCACGCTCCTTCTCAGCCTGCCTCTTCTCTGCCTGAGTCTATAAGCATGTTTTTCATTATTAATATACAATCACAATACTGTGACGAATACAGCATTTATCATCTTATTCACAAATGAACCATACTTAGAGATGACACTTTACACATATTGGTTTGTTCTCAAACATTACCAAGTCACAACTGAGTGAGAAAAAAGCAGAGGAGGCAGATTGGGAGAGGAAAGGAAGAGGAGGAGCTGGTGTTATGGTGATGGTGGTAGTTGCAGGCAGCAGTGGTAGTAGCAGTGGCAGCAGTGGTAGTGGTGATGGAGGAGAGGCAGGTAACTCCATCCTCTAACACACGTCCCCAAGGGGCTCACAAAGGAGCAAAGTAAAACGAGGAGCACTGCAGTAGGCCCACTGCGGTAGGAAAGAAGGAAGCAGGTAAGGAGAAACTTGGAAGACAGGAAAGATGAAGTTAATACAGAAAAAGTCAAGAGAAAAGGTGAGAGGGTAATCAAGTTATGAGTGTTCATTTTATTATTGAACATAGTTTCAAACTTACAAAGACAAAAAAAAAAGTGTAGGAAATAATATAATACTCAATAGGCAGATGGAAAGATACACTCAATCAAAATGTTTTTTTGTGCCCTATAAATGAGAACATGTAGGGTCTGATGTGACTATCATTATAAAAGAATCTAACAAAAGATTATGTAATTTTTTCTTATACTGAAGATGCATTATACCCACAGAGGTCATGCAGCACCTGGAAAATGAAAGGTAATCAAATTTGATTCAGGAAAAAAAAAAAAATAGCTCTAATTCCTTGGCATCAATTCATTCCCTTGCGGGACAAAAAATTGATTACAAAAGAAAGAAATGCAAGAGATAAAAAAAAATGCTAAATATGAGAGAGGGGTTAAACCCCGATTTAATTGTTACTAAAATAGTTTCTCTCCTCTGCATTTGCCTGAGCTGACCTTGAAGTTTTGACAAATCATCGCTCATGTATGAGCGAGACTGTTCCACCAGCTGCTTCTCTCGTGACAGCGAAAAATAATTTACAATATGTGTTTATATTCATTTCAGACCAATTTTTAGCATTATTGCATTCTTTTTTGTTTAACGCAAAAAACACTCCCAAATTGTCCGTTACACCTGTCTACTAACATAAACACACCTAATTGGTCTGTATTTACCCTCTAACATAAACATTTAAATCGGCTGTGTTACACCTTTCTCTAACCCAAAATCATTTCTAATTTATCTGTTTCATATTGTCTCTTTCAAATTTACAAGATTTGTAGATGAATGGTTCAGAGAACCCACATTTGAATAAATTAAAACATGTGCAACTCTTTGGGGATTTTATTGAGGAAAAAAGCTTCGCCCAAAAAGTGGGTTTATCAGTCCATACTAGGAAAACTTGAAGAACAGGAGGGAGAAGGGTAAAACGTCCTCAAAACCCTTTGGGCGATGTGTTTAGTCATCAATCTTGAATGATAAGATATAGCGGAGAAGCAGTTATAAACCCTAGGCAGGGAGGTGAGCAGTCATAGGTGGTGTCACATTTGTTTAATGTGGAAATGGTGTGCCCAAGAATTAGGGAAGCGAAGAATTCCCATTTTTAAAATCCCAAAGTTGCAGTGTCGAAGGGTTTTTGATGAATGGTTCAGAGAAACCCACTTTTTAATAAATTGAACATGTGCAACTCTTGGGTATCTTTATTGAGGAAACGTTTTGCCACACCTGGCCTCAATAAAGATACCCAAGAGTTGCACTTGTCTAATTTATTCAACATGGGCGGTTTCTGAACCATTCATCTACAAACCCGTGACACTGAACCCTTTGGGGTCTTATATTAGGGAATTTTTCGCTTGCCAATTCTTGGGCACGACCTACTTCCACATTGAACAAATGTGACACCACCTATGACTGCTGCACCTCTCCTGCCATACGGTTTATAAGCTGCTTCTCCGCTCATATGCTGTATTCTATTCAAGATTGATGGACTGAACACATCGACTCAAGGTTGAGGGACTGATTACCTCATTCTCCTCCTGTTCTTCAAGTTTCTCCTACGTATGGACTGATGAAGCCACTGTGTGGCGAAACGTTTCCTCAATAAAGATACCCAAGAGTTGTACATGTGTCTAATTTATTCAACTTCACAAGAGACAAGTTTAACACAGTATAAACACACTCTAATCTAGTTTGTGTTATTCTTCTCTGTAGCCAACATAAACATTATCTAATCTGGGTTATATTACATCTGCCTCTAACCAACATAATCTGTCCAATTCTAATAATTTCCTTGTAGTACTGCAACTTCACTAATATATTCCTCTTATTAAAAATGCCAGTAGAGATGTTCTTTGGAAAGTTCATCAATACTATATTGCAATATTTTTAATAGTAGAATCTACAGATCCATAAAATGCAGGAAAATCTCAGAGTAGGTGAACAGTGGTGGTTTTCATGATTTAACCTACTGTGAGAGTGTGAACAAGGTAACATCTATGAAGGGATTCAGGGAAACCAGTTAACTGGATTCAAGTCCTGGAGGTGGGAAGTACAGTGTCTGCATTCTGAAGGAGAGGTGAGGATGATGAAGTCTGGAGGGTCATCTCAACTGCAATGCCAGTGCTTTTCTGGCAAGATAGTTTTTGAAAGAGTGACAGTGAAAATATTTTCTTCTTTTAAGGTCATCCTATCTCAGTGGAAGAAAACCAGAATGTTAAAAAACAATAGTTATGCAAACAACTGTAATACCAGAAAACTTCTCTTTATGTCAATTTACCTGTAACCAGATGTGACTGGTGTGAAGGGTTCCTTTGCCTTTGCAGCCCAGTCTGAAGCCAAGCTTTGAATAAATTTGGAGAATGTCTTCAAAGCACACACACATCGGTAAGTAAACAAATCAAGTGACAGACATGTTAGTTAATGGGTTACACACAAGAAGATAATTATACCTCACCACTCTGGTCTCTAAAGAAGTCTCTCTCTTGCTCCAGGTTTGCTCTCTGAGTCTGAAGCTTCATCATCTCCTCTTTGTAGTAGTCACGCTCTTGCTCCAAATCTTTGTTCTGCCCAATCAACTTCTCTGTCTCAGATGTGTAAAAGGCTTTTCCTTGCTCTGCTGTTTCTTTCTCATCCTTTAGCTCACTAATAGTCTTGTTCAAAGCATCTTTTTGCAATTTTAGTTCACTAATGGTCATATTTAAAACATCTTTCTGCCCTCTCAGTTCACTGACAGTTTTACGAAGCGCGTCTCTATCTACTGAGAGACGAAGTTTATCTGTTTCTGTTTCCTGTACTGTGAGAAAAGAAATAATAAACAATACTTAAAATTATAGATATTACTAAATATAGAATAATAATCATAATTCTTTTATAGAGCAAACTGATCTATACATGACTGCCTCAAAACTCTTTCATTTTGTCATATTACCACAGTTCAAAGTGGGAGTTGTCACAGTTGCTCTTTGCTGATGACACTGTGCTTTTGGGAGATTCTGAGGAGAACTTGCAGAGGTTGGTGGATGAGTTTGGTAGGGTATGTAAAAGAAGAAAATTAAAAGTGAATATAGGAAAGAGTAAGGTGATGAGGATAACAAAAAAATTAGGCAACAAAAGATTTGATATCAGATTGGAGGGAGAGAGTATGGAGGTGAATGTATTGATCAGATATTCAGGGGTGGGATTGTCAGCAGATGGGGTCTATGAAATATGAAGTGAATCATAGAATTAATGAGAGGAAAAAGATGAGTGGTGCACTGAGGAGTTTGTGGAGACAAAGAACTTTGTCCATGGAAGCAAAGAGGGGAATGTATGAAGTATAGTTATACCAATGCTCTTATATGGGTGCAAAGCATGGGTGGCGAATGTTGCAACGAGGAGAAGGCTGCAGGTAGTGGAGATGTCATGTCTGAGAGCAATGTGTGGTGTGAATATAATGCGGAGAATTCGTAGTTTGGAAATTAGGAGGAGGTGTGGGATTACCAAAACTATTATCCAGAGGGCCGAGAAGGGGTTGCTGAGATGGTTCAGACATGTAGAGAGAATGGAACGAAACAGAATGACTTCGAGAGTGTATAAATCTGTAGTGGAGGGAAGGCAGGGTAGGGGTTGGCCTAGGAAGGGTTGGCGGGAGGGGGTAAAGGAGGTTTTGTGTGCGAGGGGCATGGACTTCCAGCAAGCATGCATGAGCATATTTGATAGGAGTGAATGGAGACAAATGGTTTTGAATACCTAACGTGCTGTTGGAGTGTGAGCAAAGTAACATTTATGAAGGGATTCAGGGAAACCGGCAGGCTGGACTTCAGTCCTGGAGATGGGAAGTACAGTGTCTGCACTCTGAAGGAGGGGTGTTAATGTTGCAGTTTTATAAACTGTAGTGTAACACACCCCTCTGGCAAGACAGTGATGGAGTGAATGATGGAGAAAGTTTTTCTTTTTCAGACCACCCTACCTTTGTGGGAAATGGCCGATGTGTTAATAATAAAAAAATAAAAAACTTCACTATTACTCTCTCTCATGCTACTTTAATAAAGCCATGGCAAGACTGTAGTGTGTTGCTGGGGTTCCAATGGTCAGTAGCTCAAACTCATGCACTTTAACCATATTCCTGCTGGAGCAAGGTTAAAGAAGAATGGGAGTGACCTGGTGAAGAATTAAAGTTTTTTTTTTTTTTTCCAAGTCGGCCGTCTCCCATCGAGGCTTAATTAATATATGACCCAAAAAAGAAAGAAAATCCCCAAAAAGAAAATGCTTTCATCATCATTCAACACTTTCACCACACTCACACATTATCACTGTTTTTGCAGAGGTGCTCAGAATACAACAGTTTAGAAGCATATACATATAAAGATACACAACATATCCCTCCAAACTACCGAAATATATAGGAAGTCCCAACTTTTCAATGGTGTACCTCCTGTATACAGTTTATGGTGCACAAAATATACTGCTGGGAAAAATAAATATATTAAAATTTGCAGTAACTGAAAGTAGGCTGTAAGAAACTAGTCTTAATATGAATACACTTAAAAATTTTCGGGCTTCGGGCGAACATTTGAAAAAACAGTGTAAATGATGCAGCAATTCAGAAACTCACATGTATGTAAAATGATTGATCTTATCCCCCAAAGTTTCTTTTCCCCCTGTCCTTACGAAAAAAGATCCCCATTCGCTTTTTTCATCCATCATTGGGGCGTTCTTTTAAACAAGCCGAGTGTGACGTGAGATGTTTTGAAAAAATCAGGGCGAATGCACCGTTTTTTATAGAGCGGTCTCTTTATCCGCATAGGTGATACAAGCGAGCTGTTTGCAAATCAGCTTTACACCCCATAACCCTAGTCTGAAAAAATTTTAATTTATTATATTAGAGAGAAACCCCAAAAACTTGGGAGATATTCAGAGCATGGGGAATGGGAAAAAAAATCTGTCTGAACCAGGGAAATGAAGCTCCAATTTCCCTGGAAAAAAGCTGATAACCAGCATCAAGGCACTTTCCTTGTGCGTAAAAAAAAAAACATCATATGCACCAAAAAGATGGACATCCAAATTAAACCTTACAGAATTATAAAAAGTAATATAATTTACCTTGGTAAAATCGGGCATGTGTGAGTTATTGATAGGAGTGGTGGAGGCAAATGGGGTTTTGGGATCAAAAGAGCTGTGGAGTGTGAGAAGGTAAATTTTTGAAGGGTTGGGGAAAAACTGGTTAGCTGGACTGAATCCTGGAGGGGAAAAGTACAGTGCCTGCACTCTAAAGGAGGGAGGGGGATATTTGCTGTTTGGAGGGGGTTTTGAATTGTAATTTATCATGCCTTGGCAAGACAGTGATGGTGTAATGCTAGTGAAAGTTTTCTTTTCTGAGTCATCTTACCTCGTGGGGAAGGGCCAGGTGTTAAAAAAATGTTGACACAACCTTCCTCCTAAAAACACATCACACTTTCATATAAGGTCTGCAGTCTTTTCCCAAAAATTGGACGGGTTGGGGCGGGTTGATCGGGAGGGTTTGGGGTTTGGGGTTTGGGGTTTGGGTTGGGTTGGGTTGGGTTGGGTTGGTTGGGGGGTTGGGTTGGGTTGGGTTGGGTTGGGTTGGGTTGGGTTGGGTTGGGTTGGGTTGGGGTAATAATGAAAAAAATTATAATACAAAAAAAAAATATGATAAAATAGTTGCCATATGAAAAAAAAAAGGGGCACCCATTGCTTGCAGCTCATTAACTCGTATAATATTTCACTATCCCAAAGGGTCTTCAACCACCAGATTTCTTTTTGATAAAAAAATACAAAGATAAAAAAAAATTTGTAATCAGTCAGAAGATTACTTGGTATGTTCCAGCCGTTGTGTCAGAGTTTCTGCTGTATTTATAACATCTTCCTCTAAGAGACGATTGGTATTCTCTACATCATGGAGTTCTTTGGTGAGATCTGTGTTGCATCAGCCAATTCCACTGCGTGGGTCATGGCATCATGAGTGTCACCAAGAATATCTATATAAGAAAATGGGTAAAAATACAGAGTAAAAAATAAATTTGGTAGATCTTCTTTCAACAAACCGGCCGTATCCCACCGAGGCAGGGTGGCCCAAAAAGAAAAACAAAAGTTTCTCTTTTTAAATTTAGTAATTTATACAGGAGAAGGGGTTACTAGCCCCTTGCTCCTGGCATTTTAGTCGCCTCTTACAACACGCATAGCTTATGGAGGAAGAATTCTGTTCTACTTCCCCATGGAGAATTTGGTAGATTTTTTTTTTTTCAACAAGTCGGCCGTCTCCCACCGAGGCGGGGTGACCCAAAATAGAAAGAAAAACCCCCCAAAAAAAAAATACTTTCATCATCATTCAAATTTCACCACATCACAATTTCCTGTTTTTGCAGAAAGGGGCCAGAACACAACAGTTTAGAAGCTATACATATAAAAATACAAACATATCCCCCCAAATGCCAATATCCCAAAATCTCCTTTAAAAATGCAGGATTGTACTTCCTATTTTAGGACTCAAGTCCGCATATGAAAATAACCCCGGGGTTTCCCCCAAACCCTTCACTAAAATTACCCTGCTCCACTCCAAAAGATCGTCAGGGGCCCCAAATACCATTTTTCCCATTTACTCCTATCAACACTCTCACGCACCTTGCTGGAAGCCCCAAACCCCCCGCCCACAAAAATCCTTTACCCCCTCTCCCAACCCTTTCGAGGCGACCCTCCACCCGCCTTTTCCCTTTTCCCTTTGATTTATAGCTTTCCATTCATTCTACTTTGATCCCTTCTCTCTAAAGACCAAACCACCTCAAAAACCCCTCTTTCTGCCCTCTGCATACTTTTTATTAATCCACACCTTCACGTCTATGGGGACCAAAAAAATAAGCAAATCTTGGATTCACCTCCCGGCTCCGGCTGGGTTACAAGTATCTTTGGCAGGTTAAATCATCACCACCAGATGTAGACCAAACGAAATGTAAACTTTGCCAGATGGACTATTGTCACACCCTGCGTCATTATGTACTGGAGTGTGATAAAATTAATGAATTTAGAAACAACTCACTCAGAAGTGTTCAAGAAATGGCTAAGTATTTTATCCACAGTGGTATATTACAGACCATTCTGGAGAAATACCCTGACTTCGCTAGCTGTAAATAAAGCATTACCACATATGTGCATGTGTGTGTGTGTGTGTGTGTGTGTGTGTGTGTGTGTGTGTGTGTGTGTGTGTGTGTGTGTGTGTGTGTGTGTGTGTGTGTGTGTGTGCACTCACCTAGTTGAGATTGCAGGGGTCGAGTCCAAGTTCCTGTGTGTGTGTGTGTGTGTGTGTGTGTGTGTGTGTGTTTGTGTGTGCATGTGTATGTGTATGAGTGTGCATGTGTGTGTACTCACCTATTTGTACTCACCTATTTGTGGTTGCAGGGGTCGAGTCCTAGCTCCTGGCCCCGCCTCTTCACCGGTTGCTACTAGGCCCTCTCTCTCCCCGCTCCATGAGCTTTATCAAACCTCGTCTTAAAACTGTGTATGGTTCCTGCCTCCACTACGTCATTTTCTAGGCTATTCCACTGCCTTACAACTCTATGACTGAAGAAATACTTCCTACTATCTCTCTGACTCATTTGTGTCTTCAACTTCCAATTGTGGCCTCTTGTTTCTGTGTCCCCTCCCTGGAACATCCTGTCTTTGTCCACCTTGTCTATTCCACGCAGTATTTTATATGTCGTTATCATGTCTCCCTGACCCTCCTGTCCTCCAGTGTGGTCAGGCCGATTTCCCTTAATCTTTCCTCATAGGACATTCCCTTAGCTCTGAAACTAACCTTGTCGCAAACCTTTGTACTTTCTCTAGTTTCTTGACGTGCTTTATCAAGTGCGGGTTCCAAACAGGTGCTGCATACTCAGTATGGGCCTGACATACACGGTGTTACAGTGTCTTGAATGATTCCTTACTAAGGTATCGGAATGCTGTTCTCAGGTTTGCCAGGCGCCCATATGCTGCAGCAGTTATCTGATTGATGTGTGCTTCCCGGGGACATGCTCGGTGTTATATCACCCCAAGATCTTTCTCCTTGAGTGAGGTTTGCAGTCTTTGGCCACCTAGCCTATACTCTGTCTGTGGTCTTCTGTGCCCCTCCCCCCTCTTCATGACTTTGCATTTGGCAGGATAAATTCGAAAAGCCATTTGCGGACCAGGTGTCCAGTCTGTCCAGGCTTTTTGAAGTCCTGCCTGGTCCCATCAGATTTAATTTCCTCTTACTTCACATCATCTGCAAACAGGGACACTTCTGAGTAAAAACCCCCTTCTGGGTTGTGTGGTGTGTGTGTGGGGTTTTGTGTTTGTGTGTGCGGTGTAGTGATGAGTGTCATTTGTGTGTGTGTGTGGGGTTGTGTGTGGTGTGTGTGTGTTGTGTGTGTGTGTGTGTGTGTGTGTGTGTGTGTGTGTTGTGTGTGTGTGTGGGGTGTGTGGTGACCAAAAATAAATATTTGCACCAATAACTCACTCTTTGTGCCCCGGGTGTGGAAGTGTGAATTGTCTTACTCTAAAATTTGTTCATGATTGGCATGTATAAACGAAGAACCATTCTTACGTTCATTCCCTTTGTAATTTTGGGGTTTCACTCCCTTTTGAACCTATTCAGCCATAAAAACTTTGGGGCCCAGTCCCTGGACCCTTTGTGTACCCCTATAATCTTTTAAATACCTTTGTAACTTGTCATGATTTGACTAGACCTACCTGGAGTTCATTATTTTGAAATGTGAATTCTTACCTCTGTAACTTGTCAGCCATCAAAATTTTGGGCCCAGCCCCTGGCCCCATTATGTACCTCTGTAATTTTTTGATTACCGCCCACGGGAGGGGTAGGGGTGCATAAATAAACATATTAAACTAACCCCTTTTCCCTAATTTCCACACTCCAAATTTTTGCAAAAATTTTTTTAACCACACATTCCCCCTTAGACGGAATCTCCCTGCCTCCAACCATCTCCTCGCTGCGCATTTACCCCCCAAAGCTTAAACCCCCAAATTTAAGAGTGTTGGTACACTAACTTTTACTTTCCTTCTTTGCCTCCATAGATAACTTTTTTTTACTCCACTATCCCTCAAGCACCACTCACCTTTTTCCCTCATCAATTCTATGTTTAAACCTCATCCTTCATAAACCCCACCCCCGACACGTCAACCCCAAGTATCTGAAAATTCACTTCTTCCATACTCCCCCCCAATTTCATATCACCTTATTTTTCTATGTTCATTTTAATTTTACCTTTGCAAATTTCCCCAAACTCATCCACAACCTTGCAATTTTTCTTTGAATCTCCATAAGCACAGTAAATCAGCAAAAAGTAACTGTGTCAATTCCCATTTTAAATTTAAAATTCCCCTAATTTAATCCCACCCCTCTCCCGAAACCCTAGCATTTATTTTTTTACAACTCCATCTATAAATCTTTTAAAAACAGCCAGGTGACATTATACTCCCTGTCAAGACCTACTTTTACCGGGAAAGAGTTCTCCCTCTCTTTACACCCCCAACCCTGAGCCTCACTACCCTCATAAAAACTCTTTACAGCATTAGTAACTTACCCCTATTCCAAAAATTTGCAACATCTGCCACATTGCTCCTCTATCCACCTATCATATCCCTTTTTCTAAATCAAAAATGCAAAATTGGGTAGAAAATATATATCATATTTTTTAGAAACCCCCTAGTTTCTAAATAAAAAAAGCTCAGGGATATGTTTTAAAAAGCCCGTTCTCAAATTCACAAAAATACAACAACAAGTCTCACAAGGGCAAACAAACCTGAAAAACCCATGTAAAAAGATACTTTGCAAAAAAAAGTTCAGAAACCTATGAAAAATTAATAAACAGTTTTACCATATTTATGTAAGATGGTAAATAACAATAAAAAATTATCATATTTATTTGTTGGGGGTTTTATTCCTGCCACAGGCTCCTATTATTAGGTGGGGTGGGTTGCACATCACTACAATTATACAGTATTTGGTTTCCCGTATTAACTGAGCCGCTATGAAGTTCTACATCTCCTAAAAAAAAACAAAAAGGCACAATCCGTGATGGAACGATACCAAATAAACCCCACAAAAAAAGAAGAAGCTTACGACGACGTTTCGGTGTCTGTTTATCTCTTCACTTCAAAAAACCATGGATTTCTGATTAGGGGGGATTTTCCCCCACCTCCCCCATTTTCCTGTCTTTCATTATACCCGCTATCCAGATGGAAAAATGGCTCATGCTCTTCCCCAGAGTTCCTCCCTACATGGCCTCTCTCCTTTTATTTCTTCCTCCCCCTTTTTGGGCCTTTCCACTGCCTTTTTGCCATATTTGCCTATTCCCTATCTTCTTCTTCCCTTCTTGAAACATGCTACTTCAATTTCCCTTTTAAGAAACTGAGCCTCACTTCAAAATCCTCCCTCAGCTGGTTCCTCATGCTGTCTAATACATCCTAGTGGGGCATCCTCGCCTTTCTTACCTTTCCCCCGCCCCGTTCCTGAGTATGTCTGATTTGCATTTTTCTTGCACAAGCAAATGTGTTTTTGCAGCTGAATGTGTGCATCTCTTTTCCCGTTGCCCATATGTGGTTGTTAGGTGTATAAAAAATGTGTTGTGTTTTAAAAAATTTTTACATTATGATATCAGGCGCACACACACAATTCAAATGACCAACAAATTCAACATGCACCTTACTAAAAGCCTATTATATAAAAAAATTTTTAAGAAGGGGAAAAACCCACAATAAACATCTTTTTTGCTTACTTTTAAGTTTCTTAAGTTGAATGTTTGTTTTGGGGACTGTCATTTTGGACTGCAACTGGGGGGAGGTGGCATGTGCTGCCCGCAGCCGATTACCCCTAGCACAGTGCTACTGCCGTCCTCCCCCCAACAACCCCTTAAGCCTATGATCTTGCTTCTCGGTTGGCAATCTAGAAAATAAAGCTGAATGTAAAGAACTTCTTCAAAATATAAAAAAAAAAACTTTTTTATTTTTGTACCAAGGCAGATACTTTCCACCAAAGCAGGGGAACCCATAGGAGGAAACAATATTCACCATCACTCATTCAATAAAAATCCTAGGTGTTAATTAAAAATCAATTTCTGTACAAGGGCTAGTAACCCCTTCTCCTATATAAATTACTAAATGTAAAAAAGAAAACTTTTGTTTTTCTTCTTAAGTCACCTTGCCTTGATAGGATATGTCTGATGCACTGAAAAAAATTCTGTATTAACTCTGGTGTAAGTTATACAGGTGGTCTGCCAGAGCAGTTTTAATTTCAAAGAACTTGTTCTAATCTTGGTGACACACACACACACTGCCAGGGATAACTCCTCTCATCTATACACAAGTTTCCTCATTATTTTGCACACCAGCTCATATCTTAATGATACATTATATGTACCATTAAATTATTTAACACAATGATCTAAGTCTACCATGGAAATTATTTAGTACACTGATTTAACATTTTTTTCTTTTCAACACATTGGTCGTCTCCCAAGGCAGGGTGATCCAAAAAGAAAGAAAATCCCCAAAAAGAAAATACTTTTATCTTTATTCAACACTTTCACCTCACTCATACATAATCACTGTCTTTGCAGACACGCTCAAATACGACAGTTTAAAAGCCAACCACCAAACTGCCAATATCCCAAACCCCTCCTTTAAAGTGCAGGCATTGTACTTCCCACTTCCAGGACTCAAGTTCGACTAACCGGTTTCGCTGAATCCCTTCACAAAATATTACCCTGCTCACATTCCAACAGCTCATCAGGCCCCAAAAACCATTCATCTCCATTCACTCCTTATGTAACACACTCACACATGCTTGCTGGAAGTCCAAGCTCCTTGCTCAAAAAACCTCCTTTACCCTCTCTAACCTTTTCAAGAATGAGCTCTACCCAGCCTTCCTTCCCATACAGCTTTATATGCTCTCCAAATCATTCTACTTTGATCCATTCTCTCTAAATGACCAAACCACCTGAACAATCCTTCTTCAGCCCTCTGACTAAAACTTTTAGTAACTCCACACCTCCTCCTAATTTCCATACTACAAATTCTCTGCATAATATTTACACCACACATTGCCCTTAGACACGACATCTCCACTGCCTCCAGCCATCTCCTTGCTGCAGCATTTGCAACCCATGCTTCACACCCATATAAGAGTGTTGGTACCACTATACTTTCATACATTCCTTTCTTTGCCTCCATGGATAACACTTTTTTGTCTCCACAGATACCTCAACGCACCACTCACCTTTTCTCCTTGATCAATTCTACAGTTAACCTCATCCTTCATAAACCCATCCACTGACAAGTCAACTCCCAATTATCTGAAAACATTCACTTCTTCCATAATCTCTCTCTCCAATGTGATATCCAATTTTGCTTTACCTAAATTGTTTGATACCCTCATCACCTTACTCTTATCTATGTGCACTTTCAACTTTCTACCTTTACACACATTCCAAAATACATCCACTAACCTTTGCAACTTTTGTTTAGAATCTCCCATAAGCGTAGTATCATCAGCAAAAAGTAGCTGCATCAACTCCCATTTTGTATTTAATTCCCCATAATTTAATCCCACCCCTCTCCCGAACACCCTAGCATTTACTTCTTTTACAACCCCATCTATAAATGTATTAAACAACCATGGTGACATTACACATCCCTGTCTAAGACCTACTTTTACTGGGAAGTAATCTCCCTTTCTCCTACACACCCTAACCTGAGCCTCACTATCCTCATAAAAACTCTTTACAGCATTTAGTAACTTACCACCTATTCCATATACTTGCAAAATCTGCCACATTGCTCCCCTATCCACTTTATCATATACCTTTTCTAAATCCATAAATGCAATGAAAACTTCCCTATCTTTATCTAAATACTGTTCACATATATGCTTCAATGTAAACACTTGATCCACACATCCCTTACCCACTCTAAAGCCTCTTTGCTCATCTGCAATCCTACTCTCTGTCTTGCCTCTAATTCTTTCAATAATAGCTTTACCGTACACTTTACCTGGTATACTCAATAAATTTATTCACCTATAATTTTTACAATCTCTTTAGTCCCCCTTCCCTTTATATAAAGGAACTATACATGCTCTCTGCCAATCCCTAGGTACCTTCCACTCTTTCATATACTTATTAAACAAAAATACCAACCACTCCAACACTATATCCCCCCCTGCTTTTAACACTTCTGTCATGATCCAGTCAATTCCAGCTGCTTTACCCCCTTTCATTCTACGTAATGCCTCACGCACTTCTCCCACACTCACATCCTGCTCTTCTTCACTCCTAGAAGATGTTATACCTCCCTGACCAGTGCAGGAAATTACCGCCTCCCTTTCTTTCATCGACATTTAAAAGTTCCTCAAAATATTCCCACCATCTTCCCAATACCTCCAGCTCCCCATCTACTAACTCCACTACTCTGTTTTTAACTGACATATCCATTCATTCCCTAGGCCTTCTTACCTTGTTTATCTCACTCCAAATTTTTTTCTTATTTTCATCAAAATTTCTTGACAGTGCCTCTCCCACTCTTTCATGTGCTCTCCTTTTGCACTCTCTCACCACTCTCTTCAACTTTCTTTTACTCTGCATATACTCTGCTCTTCTTATAACACTTCTGCTTAGTAAAAACCTCTCATAAGCTACCTTTTTGTCTTTTATCACACCCTTTACTTCATCTTTCCACCAATCACTCCTCTTTCTTCCTGCACCCACCTTCCTATCGCCACAAACTTTAAAATTATTCCAACCCTCTTCAACCCCCCCACTACTCATACTTGCACTAGCCCATCTTTCTGCCAATAGTTGCTTATATCTCACCCTAACTTCCTCCTCCCTTAGTTTATACACTTTCACCTCTCTCTTACTTGCTGTTGCCATTTTTTTTTTGTCCCATCTACCTCTTACTCTAACTATAGCTACAACTAAATACAGTGGACCCCCGCATAGCGAACGCCTTGCATAGCGAACAATCCGCATAGCGAACGCTTTGTTCGCTAAAATTTTGCCCCGCATAGTGGACAAAAACCCGCTCAGCGACCTTCGTCCGAGACGCGTCCAATGTGCGGCCTCAGCCAGCCTCACATGTGCCGCCCGTCCCATTGTTTACCAGCCAGCCTCCGCGGTAACATTCAAGCATACACTCGGAATATTTCGTATTATTACAGTGTTTTCGGTGCTGTTTCTGGAAAATAAGTGACCATGGGCCCCAAGAAAGCTTCTAGTGCCAACCCTGTGGTAAAAAGGGTGAGAATTAGTATGGAAATTAAGAAAGATTTTGAAGGGTTTGGGGCTAACCCTGAGAAGCCTATGCCAGTTGTGGAATCCATTGTGCCTACTTCAAAAATTAAGGAAATGTGTGCACAGTGGGTTGAACTGCAAACCTTTATGGATGAAAATCACCCTGACACAGCTGTTGCAAGCCGTGCTGGTGACTATTTCAATGACAATGTTATGGCCCATTTTAGACAAATCGTAAAGGAACGGGAGGTACAGAGCTCTATGGACAGATTTGTTGTGCGACAGAGGTCCAGTGACTCTGAAGCTGGTCCTAGTGGCATTAAAAGAAGAAGGGAAGTAACCCCGGAAAAGGACTTGCTACCTCAAGTCCTAATGGAAGGGGATTCCCCTTCTAAACACTAACACTCTCTCTCCCCTCCTCCCATCCCATCAATCATCACCAGATCTTCAATAAAAGTAAGTGTCATGTAATTGTGCATGCCTTTTTCAGTTGTGTGTACTAAAATTAACATTTTTTTGTGGTAAAAAAAATTTTTTTTCATACTTTTGGGTGTCTTGCACGGATTAATTTTATTTCCATTATTTCTTATGGGGAAAATTAATTCGCATAGCGAACATTTCGCATAACGACCAGCCCTCTTGCACGGATTAAGTTCGCTATGCGGGGGTCCACTGTAATGATCTGATATATCCGTTGCCCCTTTATAAATGTACATTCTGAAGCCTACCCATCAACCTTTTATCCACCAATACATAATCTAACAAACTATTTTCATCATGTGCTATATCATACCTAGTATACTTATTTATCCTCTTTTTTCATAAAATATTTATTACTTATTACCAAACCTCTTTCTACGCATAGCTCAATTAAAGACTCCCCATTTTCATTCACCCCTGGCACCCCAAATTTACCTACTACTCCCTCCACAACATTTTTACCCACTTCAGCATTGAGATCCCCAACCACAAGTATTCTCTCACTTGGTTTAAAACTCCCCATGCACTCATTCAACATTTCCCATAATCTCTCTTTCTCTTCTACACTTCTCTCTTTGCCAGGTGCATAAACACTTACTATAACCCACTTTTCACATCCAACCCTTATTTTACTCCACATAATCCTTGAATTTATACATTTATATTCCCTCTTTTCTGGCCATAACTTATCCTTCAAAATTATTGCTACTCCTTCTTTAGCTCTAACTCTATTTGAAACCCCTGACCTAATCCCATTAATTTCTCCCCACTGAAACTCTCCCATCCCCTTCAGCTTTGTTTGACTTAACCCTTTGAGGGTCGACAGGCCCTCTCCGAAACTCGTTCACAGGGTCGGCCAAATTTAAAAAAAAAAAAAAAATTATTTTCTCTTATGAAAAGATAGAGAATCTTTTCCCGATCATAACGACACCAAAAGTTTGAAATTTGATAGAAAACTTACGGAATTATGCTCTCGCAAAGTTAGCGGTCTCGGCGATGTTTACGGATCGGCGATTTTGCCCACTTTGAGCCCCATTTTCGGCCAATTTCACT